CTTAAAAAAATGAATGGCTCATTTTATTTTAAGGTTTCGTTTGGGAAGGGGAGTTGGGGTTATTTTAACCACAAAAAGATAAAATAGATTTTTTAGACTAGTAAGATAAAATATCATATTCAATGTATAACCATTACATTTTTTTTTTCACAAAAAGTCAAAAAAATTAAAAAGTCCTTCCCAAACGAAGTTTTTTAGCTCCAGGTTAAAATAACCAAAAAGTCAACCCACTTCCCAAACAAAACCTAATTTTTTTTTTTTAATAAATAACCTACCTAGGAGATACTAAAAATGAATTATACATATGAAAAAATAGGGGTATGACTTCCCTAACGGACTGGAGGATACTGTTGGGTTCGTGGGGACTCACCATGGGTCTCGTTTTGATAATCTGAACCGTTCAATGTGTAGAACTTATCGAGTGCTATATATCTGTTAAAAATCACGTTGATCGGATATTGACAGCTATGTGATCATAACAGATTTCTATCAACGGTTTATTTTTTCACCATCTATTTTTTTTTATACAAAATTGATTTGATTACGTAACTATTGATATCTGATCAATCTGATTTTTTACAAATATATAGTACTTGACAAGTTTTACACATTAAACAGTTTAAATTACCAAAACGAGATTCATAGTAAACCTCTACAAATCCAACAATACCCTTCAATTCGATCACAGACAAGAGGAAAGCCATACTCAAAAATAGACACCACATGGGTTCAAAATTGCTTAAGGCTTCGTTTGGGAAGTCAAGTTTGGGGCTTTTTTTTAGCTATTTTAGTTACAAAAAATAAAATAATTTTTTTAACTTAATAAGACAAAATATCATATCCAACCCATAATTATTATATTATTTATCTCACATAAAAGTCAAAAAAATTAAAAAAAATTCTCAAATAAAACTTTTTAACCCCAAATTAAAATAATTAAAAAATAAATAAAAATAAAAATAAAAAAATCAAACCGCGTCCCAAACGAACCGTAAATTGGATTCTCCTCTCCAGTCTAAAAGGAAGCTTCTCCTGACTAGTATTTGTCAAAATAATTTGCCTGTCAAATTAATCGTTTTCCGATTTTTATGCAAGGATTTGATATATCTTATTTATTTATTTCTTTCCCTTTTGATTATAAATGTGATCAATTGTTATACATTTTAATTAATTTTTTTTTTATGCGTATGTAATATTGGGTTCTTTTGCGCAATTTAAATCTCGTTTGGGAATAAATTATTTTAATAATTTTTTAAGTTTTTAGTTAAAATATGAAATAAAAAATTAGTATGTTTGGAATAATTTTTTATGAAAAAAACTGTAAAAAGTAAAGAGAAAAGAGAAAAGAGAATCTTTGACTTTTTTATATAAATTATAGACTTTTTAATTTTTTTTAATAATTTTTTGACTTTTAGACTAAAATAGACAGTTTCCAAACAAAACCTTATTTTAAATAAAAGTTGATAATTAATAAGTTAAAATCACAAGCTTCTTCTTTTTCTTTTTCTTTTTCTTTTTCTTTTAAAGCTTGTAGATAATTAATTTCTTTTAGCTATTTAAACTATTTCTATCTAATAAATTATAAATAAAAATTACAAAAAGTAATTTCATTCAAAATTCAAAATTAAAAATAAAATAAAATTATATATAACTCAAATAAGTTGCACAAAATATTTATTGGCATTGTTTGGTGATAGGGACGAATCTATAATTATGTCTTTGGTGGGGTTATGCTATATAATTTTGAAATTATCTATAAAAAATTTAGGAGTGCGAGCTCCTATAATTTGAAGTTATTTTAAAAAATTTAATATAATATATGATATTTTTTTAATTTTTGGGGGTGCGACCGCCTCCTCTAGCCCCCCTCCAAATCCATCATTGTTTGGTGCAACTTATTATAAATTAAAAATTAATAATGCAAAAGTAGAAATAAAAAATATTGTTAGGCCTCGTTTGGTAAGTGACTTTTTTAGCCAAAAATTCAAAAAATCACTAAAAAAATAAAAAAGTCAACAACTCATACTAAAAAGTCAAAGATTCTCTTTCCTTTCTACTTTTTGCACGTCATTTTGTAAAAATTTAAAAAATCATTCCAAACATACTAATTTTTTTTAACTCATATTTTAGTCAAATAGTCAAAAAGTTACTAAATTAGCCTATTCCCAAACGAGGCCTTAATCTAACGTTTAAAAATTAAATTTTACATCTATTAGTGTTGTTTGGTGCAATTTATTATAAATTAAAAATTAATAGTCCAAAAGTAAAAATCAAAAGCACTTCTCATCTAGCTTTTAGAAATTACGTTTTTTTCTAACTTATTTAAACTTGAAAAATCTAAAATTCTCGAGATATTGATTTATGATTATGTTTCAATTTTAAACAATGAATAACAATCTCATTCAAACAATTAAAGACAAATCGATACAATGATTTAACGTGAAAAAAATCACAATTTAAGCGCCTCCAATTGTGATCAAAAAAATCACAGGCCAAAGTTATAAAATAATCCACTAAAAAGACAAAAATAAATTACACATGTGTACCCTCAATTACCTAGTGAATCTATGCCCAAATTGAAACGACCTCGATGTGCCTGTTCCACCTCCGTCTTCACATTGGAATTGTCTTACCCAATATTGAATTCACAATACTGATGTCGAACTCACGACGATGAGCTACTTTGGAATCTATCAAAACTTCAAACTCAAGTTCCCCGATATCCATCGAAGAATAACTTTATCTTTTGTGAATAAAAAAAAAAAAACCCTTGATAATATTGATATAAAGTTCATAGATTCATTGATCACTCTTAAATTATCAAAAAAATACTCATAAAGCACCCTTCAATAAAAAACACTTTTGTTTTTTCCTTCTTCTCTGAAAATCTAGATAACTCAAACCCTAAAACGACCAAATAGCACACTTTTTGTCACGACCCAAACCTGGCCCTATGGGTTTAGCACCGTAACCGGCCAGTAATCCGAGATTACCGAAGGCCTGCAGAACAGTAATACAGTAATACAGAAGTAAATTGGATCGCGAAAATCGCTCGAGTGTACACTTCACTGCTCAAGCAATGTTAGTAAAGGCGGTGCAAAGCATATAGGCCGATTGCTCGAGCGCAACTTTTACTGCTCGAGCAGTAAAACTTGTTTCTTGGAAGTTCAGATGCTCTGCAAAAATACTGAATGATAATTTTCTCCGCTCGAGTGCACAAATGACTGCTCGGGCGGTCAAACAATTTCGATTATATTTTTGTTTTTTGCTTCGAAGACCCTACCCCTCGACCGTACCTGGGCGCTGCCCCGGGCTTACCATAGGGCACTACACTTTAGACTCCCGTGAGTTGATTGGGCAGCTTGATCCCCGTACACAGTCAGCGAAGTGACAAATAAAAACACAATACGGATTGGATTCGCATCTAACGCTCATATCCTCACTGAAATATAAGAGCAAATAGAATTGCAATCAAAAGAAATTTTGTCAAACGAAATTACTAATTACAAAAACCTAACAAAATTAGTTATGCCTATTAAATTATAAATAAAAATTATACCAAACAATCTAACTCAAGGCTTTCACAATAAATTTTTTTCATAAAAAATACAAATAACTCAAATAAACTGAAGCCAACAAGCCATTGTTTCGACCGTTTGCAAGTTGGGATCATTTCAATAGCACATGCCATGTTGGTAAAGCCCAAATTTGACACGGGGAAAAATTACTAATATTTTAAAAATTGAATTTTTTTCATTTTATTATTATTATTTTTTTGTTTTTAATAAATTTTTTTAATATTTTAAGCAAATTTTTTATTTTGTAGATGTATCTAATCTAAATATAAAATATTTATATTTTTAAAAAAAAAATCAATAAATACACAAAAATATGAATATGTATTGAATTTTCGTATTTTTATATTTTATTATTTAGAGAATTTTTTAAAGTTTATTTTTCACAAATATTATACTTTTCAATTGTATTTATATTAAGTATATTTAAAAAAGTAAAAAAAATTACTTAAAATAGTTAAAAATTCATTAATAACAAAAACTTTATCGTTATTATAAATAAATTTATCTGTATTTTTTTTTAAAATAAAAGATGCATAGTGAGCGAACTCATTCTATATAAAAATTATGTAAAAATGTTTTATTATGGATTCATTTGGAATGTGAGTTAATTTTTTAATTTTTTAACTATTTTAATTTATGATTAAAAAGTCTTATTTGGAATAAGTATTTTAGATTTTTTAATTATTATGAAAGAAAACATAAAATGATTATAAATTTAATGTGACATTTTATTTTATTTAATTAAAATAACTTATTTTATTTTATATAATTATTTTAACCTAAACACTCATTTCAAACAGGACCTCTATAACATCAACAATGATTCATCCCACTAAAAACATCACCACTAATAGCACTAATTCATTAAAAAAAGTAAAAAAAAAAAAATACAACTCCAAGACTAAAATATCACATCATTAATGACGAAACCCACTGCCACCTAATTAGTGGGAGCACTAATTAGTGTTCCCAAGCATTTTTCATATAACATTACTGAGTTAATTTTGGGTAGCAGGAGAAGAGAGAGAGAGTCGAGGTGATCGCGCATCTATAAAAGAAAGCCACCCTGATCTCCTCCACTCGGCAACTGAGGAGTGGCTCATTGAAGAAGGTAATTAAGCATCTATCATCTCTCCGTCAGCTATATGTAAATGCGTGCATATATACGGAGTTTTGATCCTCTAGTTTTTTGTTTTTTTGTCTATTATTCCATTTTTTGGCTCTTCTTTTTAAGTATACCTTAAAGAGTCTCCAATTTTTGTTGAACTTGCTTTGTGCGTTGTTTTAATGCCTTGCCTATAACACTCTTGTTGAAATCTAAAATTTTTGAAGATGTTTTTTTGAACCTGCTAAAGAAGATATAAATCTCCATCTTCTCTGAAATGAGTTTTAATGCTTTGAAACTATTCTTTCTTTCTTTGTTTTTCTTTTCTTTTCTTTTCTCTTCTCTAATGTGAATCCTAAAATTTCCCAAGGATTCGAAATCTTCAATTATTGGGTTTGATGCCTTTAATTCTAAGTCATGTGCGTTTAATCTCTCTGCAGGATCCCCAGTTGCCCAAGTCTGAGTAAAGAAAGGAACTGCATTTATGGATATGTCATTGGAAAAATGGATTTCGGAACTGGTGAGATTACTATGCATTATTTTTATTTTTTTACTTCTATACCGATATTCACTGATACTGTCCCATACAAAACCATTAATTATAATTTTCTTATGGTTTTGATATTTACAGGAAATGGAAGATTACAACTTCATAGAACAGTATCAAACAAACTCAAATGTATTCGACTCTGTTGTTGAGTTTACACAACTAGATACTGTACCGGGACCGGGAGAGAATCTTCAAAAGTCCTCTTCTTCTGGGAGCTACACTTCTTGCCCTACCTTGAATCCAAAGACCAACAACACTAACACCAACACCACTACCTCTACCACCACTACTGCCACAACCTTAAACGGGGGTTTATCAGCTATTGAGATTTGTGAGAGTAGCCTCGGGAGACCGACAAAACAAATCAAAACTAACACTCGCAACAAAGTGACTGGCTTTGCTGCTGAACAAGTTATTAGCCCAAACACTTCATCTGATTTGGACATTTATTTAGCGGATTTGGGTTCGCCGCCGAGCTCGCCGTCAGGGAATCCTCAGCACCAACAGTTGTGTGAAAATGTGGAGAATAATTTGGAGACAAAGGACGAGGTGGTTTCTAATAAAAACATGAATAATGCACCAAAAGCTGGTCAGAAGAGGTCGTCGAGCACTGTAATTACTAGAACTCCTTTGGAGGCTCAAGATCGTGTAATGGCAGAGAGAAAGAGGAGAGAGAATCTCAGTCAACGCTTCATTGCTCTTTCTGCCATTGTTCCTGGCTTGAAGAAGGTACTGCGTTACTCTCTCTCTCTCTCTCTCTCTCTCTCTCTCTCTCTCTCTCTCTCGTTACTCTTGCATTTATTTGATTCATAATTGATTTTTTTGTTTTTCATACATAATGGTGCCCTTCAATAGAGGACGTTAAAATGAAGTGAAAATGAAGTGACTTATTTGAGTTTTATAGCACATGATTCAATCGAAAGAAATAGAGATATTATGAAAAAATAAATTATAATAACAATACAAAAATTTTATGTAATTTTTTTAATGTGGGTTAGGGAATTTCACTATCAATTAAGAATTTTTAAACTATTACAAACAAAATACAAATAGTCTCACAAATTATTTTTAAATAAATTTTAAATAATTACAAATAATCAAAAATAAATATCTCACTAATAGACGTGTAAATTATTTTCAAATAAAATGTGAAAGACACAAAATAACATACCCAAAATACCTTACTGCAGCAACAACAAACAAAGACACGTCTTTGTAAGTGGAATATACAAGTACAGACCACCCCCAAATAAACTCACAAAATAACATACCCAAAATACCTTACTGCAGCAACAACAAACAAAGACACGTCTTTGAAGTGGAATATACCAAGTACAGACCACCCCCAAATAAACTCACCGAGCAAGCCACTTACCAAAAAAAAATGTTAGGAATTATGAAAAGTTTTTCATGAAAGATTTATGATCCTTAAATTATCTTGATTAGTGTGTGATATTTTATTCTAAATGTAATCTAAAGGTGCTTACCAAATAGGCAAAGTGTACTGATGTCTCTTGGACTCTCACGCGCGCGCACACACACTAGCTGTCACTAAATAGATTTTAAAATATTTATTAGGTTTTTAAAACAATCAAATATAATATAAAAAAATATATATTATAATTAATATCAAACTAAATTAAATATTTTTTAAATAAATAATTGGGTCTCAATACTGTACTAAGAAAGTATACCTAACATTGGGGGTGTTTGTTTCAGTTTTTCAGAGCTAACTTATGACTTTTAGTTTTGAAAAAGTTATTTTGGAGTGTTTGGTTAAACTTATTTCAGACAGCTTCTGATTCTAACAGCTTATTTTAACTCAAAAAAATTGATTCTGAGAAGCTGTTCACCCTTACTTCTGATTATCAACTTCTGCTGTGGACATATTAATTTATGGTTATGCTCTTAAATTTTTTTATTTTTTATTTTTTTAAAAATAGAAAAAGACCTAAATAGACTATAGATTATTATTATTATTTTTTATGAGAAATGTAGACAAACAAAAAATAAAAATTAATTGAAAAAGTTATTTCACAGCTTATTTAACAAACACTACTCAGTAACTTAAATCTATAATCCAACAGTTACACCAAACATATTAACGACTTCTGATTAAAGTCATAATTTATAATCTCTTAAGTTATAATCTATAAGTTGTTTTAACAGTTACACCAAACGGGGCCATTATTGAGAGTGAGAAAGATTTGATAAGGTGTACTCTCTTTTATGGGATCAGTTTGGAAATAAATTATTTTAATTAGGTATTTAGTTTTTTATAAAAATACATAGAAAAAAAAATAAAGAGTAATGTGATGGGATATTTTGTTTTATTAATTATTTTAATTTGGAATAAACTATTTTAGCCCATTCCAAACATATATTATAAAGTGAAAGTTTTTTTGGTACAAATTTGGTGATGTTATGAAAAATATAACATATACACTCTTTAGCTATAGATATATTTTCTTTGTCACATGTATTTATCAGTAAGAGTTAATTGTAAGGTATTATTTGGTAACTTGCTATTTTAATCTAAAAATTATTTTAAAAAATTAAAAAGTAACAAAATATACAAAAAAAAGTCAAAGATTTTTTTCTTTTGTTTATACTTTTTGCACATTTTTTTTATATAAAAAATCAAAAAGTCATCCAAACATATTAATTTTTTTATCTCATATTTTATTTTTAAAAAAAAGTTTACCCTATCAAATTCTCCTTCATAAAATTTAAACAGACAATCTTTATAAAACCAAGACGCCGAAGTCCTTTTTTTGTTTTTTTTTTTTTTTTTTGATTAAAGACATTCATTTTGGGTCTTCTAGATGTATCATCCAATCCACACAATTGTACTAAAGAGCTCACTAGTCCACCTCAAAGCTGAGTTTATGGCTGTCCAGTCTAACTTGATTAATCCTCAAATACATATAACAAGATATTAAAGTAATTCAATTACATAAGTTTAATTGGTCAAATTTTCTACACCTTATTAAACGATCAACAGTTCAATTATTTAAGTTTTAATTGCTTCTCCCCAGGCAACAGTCAACGATGGACCAAGGTTTGTATTTATTAATGGATACTCCTAATGGCACAAAGTTCTATTTTGCTTTTATACCACTCTCGCTCCACTCTTCTTCTTTTTTTTATTTTTATTTTTAGGGGTTATTTGAAATGTTTTAAATAAGTGTATTTTTTATCTTTTTGGGTTATGAGTTTTGCAAATGATTTTTGAATTGACCAACAAAACCAAAAAACTCAATTCAAAAATTATTTTCAAACATTATACCCAAATACATAACTCGAAACTCTACACTGTTTTCAAAACTCTATATTTGGTTAAGACTTTATGAGTTTTGAAAAGATTTTTGAAAATTTCTAATTGGAATTGTAATTCTAAAAGAAAACCAAACATGTTTTTAAAAAAAATATTTTTTCGGAACATGTTTGTACTCAAAACTCAATTCAAAAATTATTTTCAAAAACTCATAACTAAACACAAATTTAAAACTCAATTCAAAACTCAAAACCAAACTTTTTGCAAAACTCTATTTTAAAAGAAAAAATTAAAAAAATATATTTTATTTTTTAAAATTATTTTTAGAGTCATGATTTGAGTGTGGAGTTGTATTTTGAGTTATGAGTTTTGAAAAGAAAAAATTTATTTTGTTATAAGTTTTGAAATTTTTCGAATTTATTTTTTTAGGGTAAATATTTTATATTTTAAATATTTTTTATTTATTTTAATGTGCATTATATTTCATACATTTATGTGTTGTATTTTTTAATATTTTAAATATATTTTTTAAATATTAAAATTTTAAAAAAAAATTATTTTTTATTTTAAATGTGTCATTTTTAATATAAATATTTTTAAATTATTTTATTTTATGGTTGTGTCGGTCAAAGCAAAGGGTTTTCTCGTCTTTACTTCATGGCAGTGATGTTCATCTTGAAGAAAAGGGTTTTTCGTCTTTTTGCAGGCAAAAGCAAGGGTAATATGGTCATTTTATATCAAATACTAACGTCGTTTGTGCAAAATAAACAGAATGGGGGAATCTTGACATTGTCAGGTAAAGTAGGGGAGGTTACTGTAATTATTCAAACCATAGGGGAGGTCCCTGTATTTGTCAGAAACCTCAGGGGAGGTAAATGTAATTTACCCTATTTTTATTTTTAGGGGTTATTTGAAATGTTTTAAATAAGCGTATTTTTTATCTTTTTGAACTAAAAAATTGAGAAAAAAATATGAATATTTGAGTTAATTTTTTGTCTTTTTACGAAAAAATATGTAATAAAAAATTATACAAATAAAATGTATAGTGAAAGAAAGTTGAGTAGTTGTACGTCTGCCCTCCTGTCCCAGCATGTCTTACACAAAAAATATTGCCTCCTTCGGGACAAAGTGTTTGGACAGTGATGGTCGGTCCGTGGGGACCACCATGGGTCTCATTTTAATAATCTGAACTGTTCAATATGTACAACTCGTCGACTATTATATGCCTGTAAAAAATTACGTTAATCGAATATCGATAGTTATATGATCGGATTAGTTTTTTTCAACAGTTAACTGTCATGCCATCCTTTTTTTTATACAAAACTGATTTGATCATATAGTTAACGATATCCAATCAACGTGATTTTTTACAAGTATATATTACTCGACGAGTTATACATATTGAACGGTTCGGATTATCAAAACGGAACCCTTAGTTGGCCCCCAAGGATCCGACATTTCCATCAAACTTTATGACTTTACATATATAATTTTTTTTTTTTTTGGTCCAAAAAGTGTATAATGGCCTTCCTGCTTCACAAGTACGGCTGATAGCATCCATCAAACTTTTGTATTATAAAAATATATAAAATATTTTTTAAATATTTTTTATTTGTGAATAGTAATGATTATACAAAACTAATTTGATCATATAGTTAACGATATCCAATCAACGTGATTGTTTACAAGTATATATTACTCGACGAGTTATATATATTGAACGGTTCGGATTATCAAAACGGAACCCTTAGTGGGCCTCCAAGGATCCGACATTTCCATCAAACTTTATGGCTTTACATATATAATTTTTTTTTTTATTGGTCCAAAAAGTGTATAATGGCCTTCCTGCTTCACAAGTACGGCTGATAGCATCCATCAAACTTTTGTATTATAAAAATATATAAAATATTTTTTAAATATTTTTTATTTGTGAATAGTAATGATTTTTTTTATTTTTTGTGTAATTTTTTGACTTTTTAAATTATTTTGAACTTGCGAAACTTGGCCTTAATTTCAATGTCAAGTACTATAAATTTTTATCTCTTAAAAAATTATTCTGAAGATGAAATATATAATGTAAATTTAAAATTATTGGGCTCCATTTGTGCATAACATTTTCCTTTTTACTAACCAACATTCACCAAAATTGACAATGTTGGTTTTACAGATGGATAAAGCTTCTGTACTTGGAGATGCTATAAAGTACTTAAAACATCTTCAAGAACATGTGAAATTACTTGAGGAACAAATCAACAAGAAATCCGAAGAATCAGTTGTTTTTGTGAAGAAATCTCAGCTTTGTGCGGAAGATGACACATCTTCTTGCGACGAGAATTTTCACGGACACTTTAAGGAGACACTGCCAGAAATAGAAGCAAGAATTTCAGAAAAGAGTGTGCTGATTAGAATCCACTGTGAGAAGCAAAAAGGGTTTGCTGTGAAACTACTCAGTGAAATAGAGAGGCTTAATTTGAGTGTTGTCAATAGCAGTTTCTTGCCTTTTGGCCAATATGCTATGGATATCACTGTTGTTGCCCAGGTAATTCTAATCCTTTCTTACAATTCTTCATTTTTTTAGGATCTAAAATATCTATACTACCTATATTGTTATGGAAAGACAACTGGTTTTGACTTTCTATTTTGCTTTTTCTTTTGGGTGTTTATTGAATTTTTTACCCCATATATAGAATTTTTTTTACTCAGTCTAGTATAGTAGAACTTAAAATCCTTAAAAAAAAGTTAATAAATATCATGGATGATTTTAGATGTCAAAATTGTTTACATTAAGGAACTTGCTGCTCTGCGGACTCCAGTCCTACATCGAACTTCACAAGTCCGGTTGGTGCATTGGGAGCACACCTTGATGCCCTGGCTTCTATTCAATTTGAAATCAAATTAGAGTGTGATGTCAGACTTAATGGGTCCACCACTGTGTCCATATCGATAATTTGGACCATTCAATTTTTAAAACTCGACGAGTATTTTATTCTTACAAAAATTCACATTTATTGGATATCGATAACCACTTGATTATATTAAATATGTGTCAACAGTAATTATCATTTTAAAAACAAATTGTTAATACAAATGTAATCTGATCAAGTGATTATTGATACCCAATCACCGTAATTGTTTTCAGGGATAAAGTACTCAATGAGTCTTAAACATTAACGGTTTAGATCATCGATGTGGACTCTGTGGTGGGCCCACAGAGGCCCAACAATACTCCCTCACCTTGATAATTCAAATTGTTTATCTGTTTGTCGATTAGATCGTCCATGTAAAAAAATTAAATTAATCGGATATCGATAATTATATAATTAGATCATATTTCTCTTCAAAATAATAATAGGTAATTTTTAGAATAAAGCATTCATTAATTCTAAGACAAATGCGGTTTGATCATATAATTTTCTTTAAATTGCAAATTTTTTCTTTTTTTTTTTATTGATGACAAATCAAAGTTACAATCAATCATATAATAACTAATATTCGATCAACTTAATTTTTTTTGCATAAATAATTTTCCCGATATATATTATAAAATGAACTATTTAAATTATTAAAATAAACTCGAGATGGCGCCCAAGGCACTATCTAAAGTAGGATTATAATAGGTGAGAAGCCTAATGCTTATATAAACAAGTCTACTGTCCACGATGCAAACTGCCCAAGTTTTCCACTTCTGAACTCATCTGAACCAAGTCTTACATAGTTGAATCGTTTGACTCTTGAAAATGAAAATATAATGGAAATGTTGGAAAATTTTATTGCAGATGGATGATGAGTTTCGTATGACGGTGAAGGATCTGGTGAGAAATCTACGGTCGGCATTATTTGAGTTCTTGTGAGGTGAAATGGGGTGCATGAACAGATCCAAAACCAGTTCCAATGAAGAAGAGATCAACCAGGTTGTAATAGTTGTAATGTACATGATGAATAAATTGGAAAATAATAACAAGCCAAGGGAAATGCTAGGAATAAATCCCAGCAGTAATTTGATTTGTTAGTTAGTATTATCTAGTCAATATTATCTACGCCATTTTCATAGTTTGTTTTTCAAGGTGCTTTGGGGTTTATTGTCTCTCCCTTGTGTATATGTCTGGTTGACTTGATCGATTATTTGACATTTTGGAATTATAAGTTCTTTTCTTTTCTTTTTTTTTAAGGGAGTTGCTAAATGTCTATACTTTTCTTCTTTAAGACCTCCTTCTTTGAACTCTCACCATCAAAATTGTTCATTTTCTTATTTTTCTTTGGGCTCCTTCCATAATTCCAAATATACCTTTTAAACTCTCATTTCAACACTTTTCAATTGGCAATCTCCTCCTACCTTCAGCAACTTCTTTCCCTCACCGGCAACTCTCCCACAACCCTTCTCCTTCATTGGAGACTCTCTTTCAGCTGCCTCCTCACCAGCGACTTTTGTGTTCCAATGATCCATCTCCTTAGTTTCATCTTCCTTTCCCTTCTTCTACCGGCGATTCTTCACCTCGTTTCTTTCACCCAAATTTGTTATTCTACCAATCTCAGTCATTTGCCATCGCTGTCACACATACAACTATCCTGGAGCCCTCTTTCACATGCTCATATTCGATTTTTCTTCATTTGAAATTGTTTCGCTTGGTTCAAAAAACCACTACCGAACAAACGGTAATGGTTCGACCTTGAACTACTGAACAAAATATAAGAAAATTGCAAGCAGCACTACAGTCGTGCAATCGTACAATAAGAGCAAATTTGCCACCATTACTGATCTTCAGTGATTGCGATTGCAATTGCGATCTAGTGAGAGATAGATAAATAGAGATAAATAAAGAGAAAGAGGGTTTAAAAGTGGTGTAGGTGGTGGGCATTGTTGGTGGTTGGTGAGTAAGGGTAGGGGTGTTAATGACTAGAGGTGATGTTGGTGATAGTAGTAGAGGTTGCTAGTCGAAATGGGGAGCGTTCGATATTGGTGAGATGGGGATGGTTGGTGGGATTAGGGTTAAGGTTTGAAAAATTAAGGTTAAAAAGTCAGAGATGGGAATAAAAATAAAATTTTTATGTTTGGACAAAATTAGAATTAAAAAAATAATAATAAATAAAAGATGTAGGGGATCCTAAGAAAAAGGTAGGAGTAAATAGCACTACTCCTTTTTAATTAAAAAGTTAAATAGTCATTATTCCTTCCGTCCCAAAATATTAATCCTTTTTGTGAATTATTATTATTATTTTTTTGTAGTACAATTATTACACTTTAAGAATGCTAACCTTCCAAAGCTACCCTTTAAATTTTTTGAGAACATTAATTGTCATAATTATACTTTTTGTGTATGAATTTAAAAGAAAGATAAAATAGAAAATTCATGTTATTATAGTTCTTGATTTTTGAAAATGAATTAATATTTTTGGATAATAAAAAATAAAATAAGCAACTAATATTTTAGGACAAAGACAATATAAGTTATCATAATATTATTATTATTATTATTATTATTATTATTTACTTTTTCATGTCTTTTTTTATAAACAATCAAAAAGTAATCTAAAATAGTCAATTTCAAATGGCTCTAAGTGTAAATCTGGCCCGGTCCAGCCCATGTCGGGCTTCGCGGGTTCCCACCAAAATTCAGGCCGGGTGGGTCGACCCATGGGCCAAAAAATTAAGCCTAGGGGTATTCGAGCCTTGAGTGAGCCGGCGAGCTGGGCCTTAGGCCGACCCAATGGACTCAAGCCTAGCCTCGGGCTTGGGCAGGCCTGACTATTTTTAAAAAAAAAAAATTCTATCTAAATTTTATTATTTTTTATTAAAAAATACACTGGGTCTCAGGCGGACCGAGCTGGGCCTTAAGTGGGTTGATGGACTGGGCCTACGGGTCGGGCTAGGCTTCAAAATGATGGCTCAAGCCCTAGCTCAGGGGCTGGAGCTAGGCTCGGGCCTGGGCTCAAGCGGGCTTAAACGGGTCGGGTCCATCTCGGGTCGCGGGCGGGTTTCAGGCCACCCACGTGCCACAAGCGATTTTTACAATCCTAGCCCCTTAATTAAAAAGTTTTTTCTTTTGAATTTTTTTCTTTTGTTTTCTTCTTTTATTTATTTTTAGGGCTGGTTTGGCATCTTTAAAAAAAGTTAAAAAGTCATTATCCTATTTAAATCACATCATTTTATTTAAGTCATATCACCTCTCTAACACATCACTTCAAACCCAACCCAAACTCAACCCATATTTCATAAAAAGTCAAGAAGTGCACTTATTTAGATAATCCCAAACCCTTTAATGTGTCAAAAAAAAATTGCTTTTTTTATCTTTCTGGTGTGGAAGAATCTAAAAGTTATTAAAAAAAAAAGGAATTTCACTACATACCAAAAAAAATAAAAAATAAAACTACTATTTTTGGCTTCTTTTTTTTATTTCTTTTTTTTTATTTCTTTAGTGAACTTTTTCTTCAAAATTTTTAATGTATTTTTATTTTCATTTTTTTAGTCTGTCTAGTTTAATAAAACCTAAAAGTGTAAAACTTGTTGTTCCAAGTTTTTTGAGATAACTTACTCGAATTTGTGTTACTTATGCATTTTTGTGAGGTCACGTACGTGATTTTGTATTCTACAAAAATTTTATGAGATCACTGACGAAAAATTTGTGCTAACTTACTAATTTTTGTGAGATTACTTATGTGATTTTGTGAAAATTTACGTGATTTTGCGTTGTTCCAAATTTTTTGGGATCACTTATCGAGTTTGTGTTGTTTACGTATTTTTTGTGAGGTCAATTACGTGATTTTGTGAAAATTTACGTGATTTTGTGTTCAAAAATTTTATGAGATCAGTTACAAGAAATTTGTGTTAATTTATGCATTTTGTGAGATCACTTACGTGAGTTTGTGAAAACTAACGTGATTTTGTGTTGTTTCAAATTTTTTGAGACCACTAATTCGAGTTTGTGTTGATTACGTATTTTTTGTGAGATCACTTATGTAATTTCATGAAAACTTAGGTGATTTTGTGTTTCACAAAAATTTAATGAGATCACTTACGAAAAACTTATGTTAACTTGCACATTTTTATGAGACCACTTACGTTAGTTTGTGAAAAATTATGTGATTTTGTGTTGTTCCAAATTTTTTGGGATCATTTACTCAAGTTTGTGTTCCTTATGCATTTTTGTAAGGTCAGTTATGTGATTTCGTAAAAATTTACATAATTTTGTGTTGTTCAAAAATTTTATGAGATTAGTTACGGGAAATTTATGTTAATTTACGCATTTTTATGAAATCACTTACGTGAGTTTGTGAAAACTTACTGATTTTGTAGTGTTCCAATCTTTTTGAGACCACTTACTTGAATTTGTGTTATTTATGCATTTTTATAAGATCAGTTATGTGATTTCGTAAAAATTTACGTAATTTTGTGTTATTCAAAAATTTTATGAGATTAGTTACGGAAAATTTATGTTAATTTACGCATTTTTGTGAGATCACTTACGTGAATTTGTGAAAACTTACTGATTCTGTGAAACCCTGTATTTTAAAAAAAATAAAAATAAATAAATAATATATATTTTAATTTTCTTAAGTAATTATTCACAATTTTTTTGAATTTAACAGTCTGTATATTTTTATACTGAAAAGTTATTCAAAATAAGATAAAATAAAATATTTTTGACTTTATTACTCAATATTAATTTCTGAACCGTATGATATTTTTATTATATTTTTCTTTACATTTTTTTTTCTAGTCAAATTACACTGGAACCTAATATTTTCTGTACTAAAATCCAATCAGAAACCATGGGTTTGCTCCCCATATTTTCTCACCGCCCACCTTCCACGTGCAACCATCTTCTGTATCAAAAGAAAATGTGGTGGATATGCAGATGCTATATACACCAAGTCTTGCATTTTTCTTTTTAATTTATATCTTCTTTTACTCTTTCTCAATTCTTCCCATAAATTGAGTCTAACGTTTCCTTATATTTCTTCATCTTTTGCTTCACTTCCAGCGTCATCTTTCTCTCTCTCTCCGTCGGTTCTCTCGCTTTCTCTCCCCCTCTCATTCTCAAAACTCTCTTTCTCATTCTTTATCTATGTTTTTCCTCTTCCCCCCGACCTCCATAGTCACGGCCTCAACCCATACTACCACCATCCGAACCATCAACCCGCGAACTTCACCACCATTGGCGCACCATCGGACCGCCACAACCACCATCACCTATTTCCATTATCATCTAGAACCACCATTCACAAAGTGTTGTAGGTGAAGAAATAGAAAAAGAAGGAAGATGGAGGAGAAAGAAACAAAGTTAGAGAAGTTTACTTTGAATTTCAAAAGTTGGTTTTCGGCTTACTTTTGGCATGCCAAAACCATTCATTCCAGGAAGAATTGAGAAAAATAGGTCATGTAAGATGAAGTGCGGAGTAATTTGAAGAGATTGGCGAAAGAATAAAATAAAACCGTTAAGAATTAAGAAAGTTATGGGGTCCGAAAGATGGTTCGAAAAAAATGTCCGAGACGATAGGAAAATAATCTTATTTTTCGTCAAATTTTGGAGATCCGACGGCATGCAAAAAGAGACGGAACGAGGCGTGTGAGTAGTGAACCAAAAACTAGGTCCTGAGTTGAATTCAATGACAGAAAAATAAGATAAAACGGAGTTATGATGAAGAAGATACAAGCATTTGAACTGGTAACATTGAAACTAAAATTCTGGGTCTTCTGTTCGTGCATGCTACGGCTGTTGGAGAAGATGAGCTTAAATTTTATCCAACGTTTCTCGGCCCATGGTGCTACTGTGCACCCTAGTACCTTTAGGTTAATCGAGTGGTCCTATGACTTTGGGGATGACCACCCTTAGGTTTTTCAATGTGTAGAATCCATTTTTGGGGTTAGATCTTGCAAATTCTAAGTCTAAGATGATGATCAACAACTAAAGGTTCTAAGAGAATCCAATGAAAGATCAACGGTTAGATCGTGTCCGATTAATGTGAAATTTGAACAAGACGATCATGGAGCCAAGACGGTCATATCTTATGATCAGAATCATAAATCAAATTCGGACGATAAATCGCTAGCAACCTAACATAGTAAGAAAACCCTCTCAACCCTCTCATTTTTTTATATATTTGAAATTTTCAAATTATATACATATGATAAAATGTCTAAACTTGTAGATAAAATTTTAT